CCTCCTCCTCCTCCTCCTCCTCCTCCTCCCCCTCCTCCCTCCTCCTCCTCCCCGTTCCTCCTCCCCGTTCCTCTTCCCCGTTCCTCCTCCTCCCCGCTCCTCGTCGTTCCTCCCCGCTCCTCCTCGTTCCTCCTCGTTCCTCCTCGTTCGTCCTCGTTCCTCCTCGTTCCTCCTCGTTCCTCCTCGTTCCTCCTCGCTCCTCCTCGCTCCTCCTCGTTCCTTCTCGTTCCTTCTCGTTCCTCCTCGTTCCTCCTCGCTCTTCCCCGTTCCTCCGCGTTTCCCCTCGTTTTTCTTCCTCCTCCTCCTCCTCCTCCTCCTCTTCCTCCTCCTCCTCCTCCTCCTCCTCCTCCTCCGTTTCCTCCTCCTCCCCCTCCGGCCGAAAGACAGGGCGGGCCAGCCAGCAGCAGGGGGCGACGCAATCCCGACGTGGAGACAAGACCGACTCGCGCAGTGGCGGGCGGCGCCACGGGTGCACGACGCGACCCGCAGGCCACCTTCGCCACCGCGTGCCCGAGCAGGCGCAGCTGGCGAGAGCAGCTGGGAGGGCAAGGGGGGGGGGAGGGAGGAGGGAGGAGAGAGCCAGAAGGAACTGGGAGGCGGAGGAGACGCGCGCGCTCCGCGGGGAGCCTCGCGCCAGCAGGCCCCCCCAGGCGCGCGCGCGCGCGCCCGCCGGAGGCACAGAGCGGGAAAGGAAAGGGGGGAGCAGGGGGAGGAGCGGGGGGAAAACGACCCTGGCGCACAGCTTGGCGGGGAGAAGAGCAGTCAGCAGCGCGGGAGAGGAGAGGGAGAAGACGACGCAAGCACGAGGAGGCGCAACGGGCAGGCGAGGGCGACCGGCGCGTCATGGAGGGGGAGAAACAGGCGGGAAAAGCGAGAACGGGTGGCGGTGGTGGGCGTCGAAATCTTGGTGGGGTCGGCGGTCGTCGTCGCGGGCCCGCTGCGCGTCTGCCAGTTTGGTGACTGCTGCGCTGGCGCTGTCGCAGTGGTGCCGTCTGCTGCGTTGGTGCTGCGGCGCTGGCGACCCCGCCAGCGTCGACCCTGCGTCTGGTTGTCGGCTGGGCCTCCCGCGCCGATGGCCTTCAGCAGCGCTTCGCCACTCCCCACCTGCAGCAGGCAGCTGAGCTGCTGCCAGGCGGACTGCAGCACCTCACTGCGGCCGGCCCCCCCAGGTCGTGCGCCAGGGGGCGCGCGTGGGCGACCGCCGCGTCAGTGGGGCGGCCGCCTGTTTCGAAGACGACCGGAACAAACTCGCCCCCTCGAGGTGTGCACCTCTGGCGTTTGTCATCTTCGCGGACCTGGGCGGCGAGGCCATCCCGACCCGAGCGGACCTGCTGGCGCGACTGATCGTCGCTGTGAGCGCAAGCGATGCTCCTTCTCCTCCTCCTCCTCCTCCTCCCCCTCCTCCTCCTCCTCCTCCTCCTCCTCCTCCTCCTTCTTCTCCGTCCTCCATCCTGCATCCTCCATCCTCCTCCTCCTCATCTGCCTCCTCGTTCGTCCTCCTCCTCCTCCTCCTCCTCCCCCTCCTCTCCTCCTCCTCGTTCCTCCTCCTTCCTCCTTCTCCTCCTCCTCCTCCTCCTCCTCCTCCTCCTCCTCGCCTCCTCCTCCTCCTCCACCTCCGCCTCCGCCTCCGCCTCCGCCTCCGCCTCCGCCTCCGCCTCCTCCTCCTCCGCCCCCTCCTCCTCCTGGCCGTTCGGCGCCCGAGCGGCCCCTTCCTGCGCGGGCGGGCCCGGGCGCTCCCGATGCGAACTTCGGAGCGGAGTTGCATCGGGGAGCCATCAAGAACCATGGGCCATCAAGAAGTGGCAGCTAGCCGTGAATAGGCTCATGCAAAGGGGCCAGGGTGTCCTCCCCTCCTCTCGCCCTGTCCTTTCCCGCGCCCCCTCCCCCCTTCTTCTCCTCCTGGTGAGCACCGGTGTCGCTGCACAACACACCGGCAACAGAGCGCAGGGGCCCGACGCCTTCATCAGCTACGTTGCTGAAGCCAGCGTGTGCGAGAAGAGCGAGCAGTGGCAGCTGACTCTGGCCTGGCTCCCTGAGCGGGCGACAGTAGAGAAACAGCCCGACGTGCTCAGCTACAACGCCGAAACAGCATGCCAGAACAACGGGCAGTGGCAGCAGGCGCTGGCTAGAATCACGCGGAGACGAAGCTAGAGCCTGACGTCCTTAGCTACAGCGTTGAAACCAATGCGTGCGAGAAGGACGAGCAGTGGCAGCAGGCTCTGGCTGGAACGCGAGATGCTGGAGGCAGGCTGAGAGAAACGTGCGTGGGCGCCACGATCAGCTACAGTGCTGAGGCAAATCGTGCGAGAAAGGGAGCGAGTAGTGGCAGCGGACGCTGGCATTTATCAAAACGTGCGGGTGGGCGATCCGCTGCAACGTTGGGAGGAGTCCGTGCGAGAAAGTGAACGGGCAGTGGCAGCAGACGCTGACGCTGGGCGGGCATGCCAAGATCAGCTACAACGATGGGAGCAGTCCGTGCGAAAAAGGGCGAGCGAAGTGGCAGCGGACGCTGGTGCTGGGCAAAACGGACGGGTGGGCGATCAGCTACAACGTTGGGAGCAGCGCGTGCGAGAAAGGGCGAACGCAGTGGCAGCGGACGCTGGTGCTGAGCGAAAAGCGCGGGTGGGCCGCGATCAGCTACAACGATGGGAGCTCCATGCGAGAAAAAGCGAACGCAGTGGCAGCGGACGCTGGTGCTGAGCAAAAGTCGCGGGTGTGCCACGATCAGCTACAACGATGGGAGCAGTCCGTGCGAGAAAAGGCGAGCACAGTGGCAGCGGACGCTGGTGCTGAGCGAAACGCGCGGGTGGGCCACGATCAGCTACAACGCTGGGAGCAGCCCGTGCGAAAAGGGGGGTGCGCAGTGGCCGTGGATGAGGGGAATGTACCCCGCAGACCCTGGCGCTGCGAGAGAACGGCTGCGAGAAGTAGCAGGCGATGATAGAGCCCGACGGCATCGAACTAACTCCGCGAGGAACAGTCGCTCACGAAAGCACAAGGGCGTACATCACCAACTACAGTGCTGGGATCAGCTCGTGTGCGGAAGGCCGGGGAGCAACAGCGCGAGGCAGGGTTGCAGTTCATCGGGGGCCAGTCGAAAGCCTCTTGCGAGAAGCGGGGCGAAGCTGGAGCCCAATATCGTCGAGAGCACCAAAGCCAGCTTCTTGCGACAAACGGGGGGCGAAGCTGGAGCCTAATTTCGTCGGACGTGTTCTGCGCCGAAGGGTTGAGATCAATTCATGCGAGAACACTTCGGGGATGGTGGGGTTTAGGAAGGATCTCAGCTACAGTGCGGAGATCGGGGCGAGCGAGAACCAAGGCAGTGGCACCATGCTTTGTTGCCGCGGGGATCCGACGAGCCTGTCTAAGCTACAGTGCCGAAATCAGCTCGCGAAAATGCTGTGGGGAACGCCCCTTTGAGGCAAGCCCTCAGAGGGCACGGCGTTCAGGCTCGGCTCGGGGACGGCCCGGTGCGGCCAGGACGACCCGCGGCACGATTCCATGGGGCATCGTGTTCGTTCGATCAGCAGAATCCAGCAGAATCCTCCTCCTCCTCCTCCTCCGCCTCCGCCTCCGCCTCCGCCTCCACCTCCGCCCCCTCCTCCGGGCGGTTCGCCTAAGACTTCCTCACCATTTATGACCTTGCAGCTTAAACATTGACAACAGCTTCACACATGGAGGGCGGGTAGTTTTCAAAATGTGGCTCTCGCCCAAGCGCTGCGCACATTCGATATTAAACGTTTGTAAGAGCTTCACGGATTGAGGGCGGGTCGTTTTCAAAATGTGGCTGTCGCCTTAGCGCCGCGCAAATTCGCTTAAAAACTGCAAGAGTTTCACGGATTGAGGGCGAGTCGTTTTGAATATGTGGTTCTCACCTTAGCGCCGCTCACACTAGATCTAAAACATTGCAAGAGCTTCACGGATGGAGGGCGGGTCGTTTTCAATATGTGGCTCTCGCCCCAGCGCCGCGCACAGTCTTTTCAAACATTAGTAAAAGCTTCACGGATTGAGGGCGGGTCGAAAATGCGGCTCTCGCCTCAGCGCCGCGCAAATTCGTTAAAAAAATTGCAAGGGTTTCGCGGATCCCCATGATCAGCGCACCAGAAGTGGTGTTTTGGACGGATTCAGGATCATGAGGGCGCAGTTACGTTGATTCGCGGCGTCGATGTCCCAAGAATGGCGTTCTGGTACGATTCAGGATCGTCAAGACGCAGCAGTCAGGTTGATCCGTGGCGTTAGAATCCCGAGAACGACGTTTTGGCATGCGTCAGAGTCTTCAAACTGCTGTCTTCCAACGAACCAGTTCCCTCAGCGGAAATGAACCCTTGTAGGGGCCTATGAAGAGGGAACTTGGAGGGAAGGTTTATTCCAACATCGTTGGTGACTCTTGGGTTTACACTGGTCCTCCTCCTCCTCCTCCTCCCTCCTCCCTCCTCCCTCCTCCCTCCTTCCTCCTCCTCCTCCGTCTCCCTTCTCCTCCTCCTCCTCCTCCTCCTCGTGCTCCACCCTCCTCCTCCTCCTCCTCCGCCCCCTCCCTCCCGCCTCGAAATTGGGCTCCCCGTGGCGAGCACACGGATGACTCATGGAGTCCTGTCTGCAAGCCCTTCTGGAACGGGAGCTTGCACTGAACATGACCAGCCGGAGGAAGAGGAGCGAGGAGAACGATGAGAAGGGGAAGACAGAGAAATAGAAGGTCGACAAGAGGAAGAGTTGAGGAGGAGGAGGAGGAGGAGGAGGGGGAAGGGGGAGTGCTATCCGGTTCGGGTCCTGGCCAGAAGCCTGCTCCTCGCCGCCCTCTGGGAACGAGACGTAGAGCACCTGCATGTTCTGCCTCCTCATCCCTCTCGCCCGCCAGCCCCTCCTCATCGCGGTCCTCCTCATACTCAGCTTGGTCCTCGCCGTCATGCAATCATCATCGCCACCACCATCACGATCACCATCTCCATCTCCATCACCGTAATTAACACCGACACCATCACCATCACCAGCACCACTACCATTTGCATCGCCATCAACGTCGCCATCGTCATCGTTGCCGTAGCCGAAGCTAGCCCCACCACCACCATCGCTTTCATCACCAGCATCAGTACCCCCATTACCATCGACATCATCACCATCACCATCACCATCACCATCGCCATCACAACCATGATCATGATCATGGTCGTGATCATGATCATGGTCATGATCATCATGATCAGCATCACCATCATCACCATCATCGTCATCACCACAACCACCATCACCAGCATCACTATCACCGTCGTGATCGTCATCATCATCATCATTATCGCTATCAATATCATCATGTGTATCATCATCTGTATTATCGTCACCAGCATCATGATCACCACCATCACCATTATTGTTACCATTAACATATGTGTCAACATCATCATCACCACCACAGCCATCATCATCATCATCAGCATCATCATCATCATCATCGTCATCATCACCACCACAGCAATCAGCATCAGCATCATCGTCATCATCACCACCACCATCATCATCATCGTCATCGCCATCATCATTATCAGTGTCATCAGCACCAGCATCAGCATCATCCTCCTCCTCATCCTCATCCTCATCATCACCAACAGCAGCACCACCCTCATCAAAACCATCGTAAATCGCCATGGTCATCATCTGGTAAACAAAACCGTCGCCCTTCCCATCACATTCCTCTTCCCCCTTCCTCCTCCCTCCTCCCCCGATTGCCCGAGGAGCGCCGTGCTGTCTATGGAGTACCTTGGCTGGAGGAACCCGCAGCCGCCAACGAACTTGCCCGACAATTCGTCCTGCAACGGGCAGGAGTGGGAGGCAGGGGGCGGGGCAAGGGCGAGCGGCAAGGAGGGGGAGGAGGGGGGACATGCACAGGGAGAGGGAGAGGGATATTTACAGGGAGAGGGGGGGAGGGAGAGGTGGGTGCGAGGATGGAAGTGCGGAAAAAAATACACAAACAAAATATTTACCTGGGGGCCTGGGGGCGAGAGGGGAGGGGCAGGGGATCCGGCGCGCAATCAAGAGGGGCAGGGGGGAGGGCGGAAACGAGAGGACAAGGGCGGGGAGAATGGGAGGGAAGGGGCCCTGCGGCTGGTCTAAGTTCCCGCTGTTGCTGTTTCCTCTTCCTCCTCCTCCTCCTCCTCCTCCTCCTCATCATCATCATCATCAGCATATTTCTGCTGCTCCTCCTCCTCCTCCTCCTCTTCCTCTTCCTCCTCTTTCTCCTCCGTCTGCTTCTCGTGCGAGACTCGTGAACACCCCTGGGGCGAGTCTCGATACCACCACAGTGCCATACAACAATTCCCCACAATAGCCATCCTGAAGTACTTGAGGCCCAATGGCCAGGTAGGCGGAACCCCCGCCAGGATAGCAGCAAAACTTGTGGAGAGGCTGGCATTTGCGAACGAAACTGATGGCCCACGGGTGGGCCTGGGTTCGGGACCCCGCTGCCCCCGAAGGGGTCGGGGGCCAGACCGCTTAGCGCTTGGCAACTTTGCGACGCCTCGGCTTGGGCTCCTCCTCTGCCTCGTCGTTGGCACTCCTCTTGAACTCCAACAGCCACTTGAGCAGTGGCCCGTCGAAGGTGTGCTGGGCAGTAATGAAGAGGTCCTCGCGCTCGATGCTGTAGCACGCCCGCAGGGCGCGGATGAAGTCGGGAGCTTTTTCCTCCTGGAGCATGAAGGCCCACACCTAAGGACGCCCGGCCTTCCACGTGGGATGCCGCGGGCTGGCCCGAAACAGCTGGGTGTCCAGCTCGGCCACGCTGATCTCCGACAGGTACTTGACAACTTTGGCGTCGCCCTCGGACAGCTTGCCCTGCATGGCGCGGTCGAGCTGCTCGAGCATAGCCTTGAACAGGACAGAGCGGAGGCCTCCGCCCAGGCTGTGAGGAGTGAGCTTGGCGTCATGCATGTCGGACTCCTTGGCCTTGTCAAAGGCAGCTATGCGTTCCTTGTCCTCTGTCTTCCATAAAGTGCGCAACTGATCGAGCTCTTTCTTGGCCTCATCCTTTTTGACCACACGCACGAAGGAAACTCTATCCTCAAGAGTGGCAACACGACGATCGAGAGACACAACAATAGGAATGAGCTTGTTAACGACGGTCTTTGTCGATGCATCCTTCGGCGGGGGCCCAGCACCACGAGCTTCCTTCGGGACCTCCGAACCAGCGGCCGCTCCTCTATCGGCGGCCTTTGTCCGAAGGACCTCGAGCATACCGTGTCGTACTTGCAACGCACCACAAGAGGCCCGCTGCTGAGCCAAACTGTCCAACGGGGAGATTGCTCTGAATACGTATGTTCTTGCATAAATTGGAGCGCTTGGCGAAATGACATTGGTCGGGAAATTTGATGTTGCAATACTTGCACTGAAATGTCCAGGAGGCTATCTGTTCGGGGGTACGTTTCTTGTCGCGTGCTTTGATACGCTGCTGAACACCTTTCAACCACACTTCCCATGGGGCTTTGGCACAATCGTATACATGATTTGCATAGCTCGCTAATTGCCCACAGTACCTGCACGTAAAAGAATACCCAGCTTTGCGTACTGTCTTTCGAGGGGCCCGTTTTGCTTTGGCTTGTGCTTGCTGTAGTTTGCGGCGGTTCTTGACGGGGAGAGGCGGGGGGGCTTCTTGGATCAGAACCGGGGCTGCAGGAACGTGAGGAGGAGGGTATACCGTCGAAGCCGATTCCGAACGCATCCGAGTCCTCCTCGGGGCCTCCACCACCTGCCTTCCTCGAAGACGACGCCGGATAACCGATGCTGGGGAAGTGGGGCGGGAGCAGCAGCAGGGCGCCGTAGAGATACCACCCCACGACGTCTGGCCACATGGGAACCGCATGAGGCTCGACGCACCAGATCCACATTTGTGCAGGCCGAGGCGTTGCATATGAATCGCTGACGGTCTGGACGCAGCGTGCCCGCGCAGAAACGGACGTGCTCGGGATATCCATTGCGCGGGATGTAGTCCTGGCACTTCGGACAAACTCTTAAAGTACCTGCGTGCGCTGTGCCCACTTCTGGGGCCTGTGCTGCGAGAGATGGCCTCTCCTCGAGGGGTCGGTCGGCTTCTGGCGGCCGTGCCGTCCTGAGACGCCCTCGGAAGTCTTGCTTTACCAAGTCGCAGAGCTTCCTCCACTGCTGGCCATTCTCTTCGCAAGTCAAGTGAAACCAGTCTCTGTGCCACTGAGGCTCTGGCTTGGAGCTGAACTTGATCAATAACTGAATGTGTTGCCATTGCCAGCTGCGTGAGGTTATGCGTCTGCTGCGCGGTGCTAATGTCCCTGGACCATCCATGAGTTCGGCCCCAAGCATTCCTACCTCCCACCGCTCCCGAGAGCACCCCCCGAGATGGCCTAGCTAGGAGAGGGCTCCGATGATGATCTGGGTTTCGATGGGGTCCACGCCGAACCGCCCATGCACTACATCCATGGTAATGTGTTTTCTCCCATTAGACGAAGGGTGGTTCCACGAGCTCGGTGCGCCAAATATCGAATACATCGGCCTGCGAATGTTTGATATCGATCGATGTCCTTCTGATGGAAAGCTCGGACCTCGGCCCCATATAATAGACACCCAATTACTGGCGCCTGGAATGTTCGGCCCTGGATTGTGAGAGGTAGTTTGGAAGCCCCAAGCTGGTGTCGTAGTTTCACCCAATCCCTGGGCGCTGCTTGCATCCGTTTCGGTGTGTCTGTCCTCGATCCCCCATCCGTATCTACCCACCCGCCTACTTCTCGAACAGAGTGGTGAAAGCCAGCTGGGAGAGACTGTGAAACGTCGTAAACTCCCGCTCTCAAATACTCGTCCTTTCCAGGATGGACCTTCTCGCCTCGGTCCCCGAGTACCTTCCCAACGAGGCTCGCCGTCTCTCGAAACTGCGGCATGGCGGCCCACGCGGAGGTGTCGTCGGCGAAGCCCATGAGTTTGAAGTCCACTGAAGTTGTGGCCTCGTCTTTTTGCCAGTTGGCCCCGCGGCCAAGTGAGCGCCGAAGAGACGGAGTCAACTTGAGGCCTATGCCCGGCAAGACCTCCTTCAAAGCACGCAAGGAATAATTGCGATAACAATTGAAAAGCGTGCAAGAGCTGGCGCATCCATCTCTCAAGCCACGGCATAAAAAGATATGGGCCCGACTCCCCGAAGCGCAACCTCACTTGGTAGCTCGTCTCGCCGTGTAATCGCTTGAAGATCGACGCAACATTCGGCGGGTGCCCCTCCTTCAGCAAGGCGCGCCAAAGAGGTTATCTGGGGGCAGTCGGGCACGCCTTCTAGATATCTGCCAAATACAAAACTGCTCGGCTGCTCTGAAACTTCTGGTAGGATGCTGCCCGGGCGGCCTGGTGTTTGTCCCAGGTGCCCGCGCTCTGATACCTGGGGCGCTGAACTAATAGAAATCTCTCCCAATCGGCATACAACTCGCATATAATACGCGTGATATAGAAAACATCTCTGGTAGAACGACCACGCCTGAAGCCCCGCTGCTCCTTCTCGAAGAAGGACAGACCCTCGAGGTACTTCTCTACTCGCCTGACTGCCAGACGAGCCAAAATAAGTGTAATCATACTGTCCTCGCTCCTTTCTTCTTGCGCAGCATGAGAGCGATCGCTTCGCGTGCAGAGATATCCCAGCGAGGCCGGGGTCCGTCTAGGTTCGCCTCCGACCACAGATCAGATCGTAGACGGCCCTCTGCTCCTCGACTCGCGCCTGTCTGATCATGTCGATTGGGACCTCGTCTTTGCCTGCCGCTGAAATCCTCATACCCTTGATTGTGTTCAGGAACTCCTCGAAGGTAGGACTGTCGCCCAAGGGTGCGCACACAGGCCTCTGGATCAGCTCGCTGGAGACATCGACTGTCGGGACAGCCGTCGCACCACTGATCCTCTGAAAATGTTCGCGGCAGTCGTCTGGCTTGACTTGCCCCACATCTTTGAGCCAATCGTAGCTGATGTAAACGCCAAGCTCTCGCAACAAAGAACAATACTTTCCCATCTCGTGGTTGGTCACCGCCCACTCGAGCTGCTGGCACAAACTGGATATTGCTTTCCCCTTGAGGTCGCGCTCAAACTGTCTCTCTATCTTCTTCGTGACCCGATAGTTCGCGAGCGCTTGGCGCTCGGTGGGGGTGCCTCGTGCCGCGCAGTACTCCGCGTAACTGTCGGCGACTCTCTGCTTGCTCTTGAACACATCTGGCTTGCACTCCGCGAGCACCGGTATATCGCAGCGCCCCTGACCGCGGCCGCGTGCCGCCTCCGCTGCTGTGAGAAAGATACTCGACGCGTCTCGCCAGGCCGCCCCCGTCGTAGTGTTCGACCGTCCGTCGATGAGGTGCTGGTGGTACCCCTTCCGAAGCTCCACAGCTTCGTCTCCGACCCCTCGGGCCTGAGACCATAGGACTGGGTGACATGGGACGGCTCGGCTCGGATCTCTGACACGTTGAAGCTCCTGCTTCGTCATGCGTCCAAGAGGTAAGAATGATGCGAACTTGCCTCGGTGGTCGCACAAGGCGAACGAGACCGTCTTCAGGTTCCGCCATCAGGACGGCGTGCCAAAAGAAGAAAGAAACACATCGAGCTCGCACCATGCCTTCGCAACATTGTGATAAAACGTGCCCCGATGGGCAAGAGGTAGCCTCGAGTCCACATGGGATAAGCCCTCCTCGTCGCCAAACTCTTGTAGCTGGTGGCTCATCCTCGATGTGGCGGTACGGTTGGTGTATTTGCCAAGAAACCCACACGACCTGTCCGCCTCGCCCATGTGTGACTTGAAATCGCCTCCTATGATAATGTGATCTCCCGA